CTGGTACAACCACTATGGAAATTAGTATGGAGGTTCCTCAAAAAGCTAGGACTGGAGGTCCCATTCAAGCCAGCTATTCCCCTCCTAGGTATTTTTCCAAAAGAACTGAAATCATCATACCACAATGATACAGGTGACCCGTGTTTATAACAGTGTGATTAATCATAGCTAAATCTTGGAAACAAACCAAATGCCCATCAACTGAGAAATGGATAGAAAAGATATGGTGTTTTTACACAGTGGAGTACTATTCAGCTATAAAAAAGATATATTCAAGGCTTTTGTAGATAAGTGTAAGCAGCTAGAGACTATGTTGGTAAGTGAAATAAATCAGATCCACATTGGCAAACATCATTTTATCTCACTAGTGTAAGAACCTGAAAGGGTAATGAAAATCTAAATGATACAACAGATATTGTGAAATGGAAAGAAATTATTCAGTGGGAGGGGAAAATCTGGGCTGAGGAAAAGGATAAATGAAAGAAGAAGGAAAATACATCTAGGTATATATGCAGAATAGTTCAAATAATTGTATTCATTTCTGCTGGTCTTTTAAAAGGAGCAGTTAGTGCTTTAAAAATTTTTTTTACTCTGATTTTTTTCTTCCTCTTTTGAATTTCTTATATCTTCTTTGTTCTTTTTTTTTAAATGGATCTTACACAATTATATCTGGTAATCTGAACATCTAATTTGAAAATAGCATCATGTCATGTGGCAACCAATGCTTAATTACTATTACTTTGTTCAGTGAAATCTTGTATTGTTTCTAATGCTGTTTTTTTTTTTCTATCACTGTTGTGCATTCTCTTAAAAAAATTTAAAAGGAAAGAAATGGAGCTCCTGAATTTGTCATAATCAGAAGGAAGAGGAATAGGAGGCCACCACTGGAGGAAAAAGCAGCAACAGAACAATGCCAGGGAGTTAGAACTAGGACCAGGGAATTGCCACAGCTGCTGCCACCACACCAGAAAGCTAAAGTTTGGGCACTGGAACCCTGAATCTGGCTGCTGCTTTCTGCTGCACAATACCTCTTAACACCTTAGCTCAGTGTCCACAGGAATACGCATGGAAACAGGCAGCAGTTCTGTCATGCCTGCTTGCATTTCGTGGATTAAACCTAATATGCATCCAGATTAGCTGCAAGGGAGTCTGAGGAACGTTTATTTTCTTGTCTTTTCTGAGCTCTGTAGGAGAGGTGGTTAGCTAGCAAAACCATTATGCCAGAGGAGGAAAGGGGAGGAAAAGATACAGGACATGTGAGACAGACAGAATACAAACATTTATCACTGGGTCAGGGAGATAGTGTGGTGGTCTAAGCTTCTGCCTGGCAAGCTTAAGGACCCAGGTTCAATCCCTGGTACTGCAAGCCTTGTGGGCCCTGGTGGCATACACCTGTAATCCCAGCACTGAGGAGGCTGAGACAGGAAAATCACTATGCCATAGCCACTCAACTATGCCAAGCTGAGTGGCAGAACTTGTACCAATTTTTTTTTTTGTGAAACTGAGGATTGAACTCAGGACCTTGTGCTTGCCAGGCAAGCACTTATTCTACTGAGCCATCTCCCCAGCCCCCTCAAATAAATAAATAAATGATTTTAAAAGGAAAAAGAAATTTTAAAAGTTTATCACTCACAGAGGCTCTCTGAAGAAATTGCTAAAGGATGTAATACAAGAAAAATTAAGTGAAATCACAAGAAAATGTGGATTTTAAGAAGTGCTCTAAAATTGTATTAAGAAACCTCCTCAGTCTCATTTGATCTAGGCCTGATGACTTAGAGTAAGCACTAGTAAACCCGTCCCGAAAAGGAAGCTATTAGTGTTTCAGCTTTGGAGGCCCTGTAGTCTATCTCAGCCATTCAACTTGTCTAATGTTAGTGTGAAAATAAGGATCAAATTGTTCCAATAAAATGTTATTGACCAAAATGAAGAGCTAGAGTTAGCCCTCAGGGCACAGTTTGTAACACTGAACTGAGAGGATCACCAGGCATAGACTAGAAACCTGAATAGAGCATTTCTGGAAAGGGCCAGGGTTAGAAATTTGTTGAGAAATTGGATTATGGGAGATTATGGGAGACCAAGCAGTGCATGAGACTAACCCATAGTGAGCACAACAACAGTGACAAAAAATAAGCCTCCAAAGGGAAGCCAAAGCCTGGTTAAGGACCTTGTATAAAATTTGAATGAACGGGCCAGCCAAATGGCTTAGCAGATTAACGTGTCTGCAAGCAGGCACAGGGGTCAGCAGTTCGATCTCCGGGCCTGCCGTGCCGGCCCCACCCCTGAGGCACACTGAGATGGCAACTGAGACTCGGCGTGGTGCCACGCACCTGTAATCCCAGCTCTTGGGAGGCTGTAAACAGGTGGATCACTATGAGTCCAATCTAGTAGTTAGACCCTGAACACCTTGTAGACCCTTCCCTAAAATACAAAAAACAAACAAACAAAAAAAAATTGAATGAGTTGTCATAAAGAATCAAAATAGAAAAACTTTAGCAAGGATTTTGTCATGATCAGGGGTGAGTTTATAAAAGGAAAAAATGAGAAGGGCAGTATTGTAGATCAAGTCCAGAGCCTTGCACATGCCTGGTGAGCAGTCTATCACTGAACTTTACCCCTCGTCCCACAAAATACTTTTTCACTTGTAAAACCACAGGGTTGAAAAGGCCCAAGGTGGGTAACCCAGTGGGAGCCGTCTCAGTTGGAAGGTTTACCAGCGCTAAGGCAGTGGCACCTGGAGAAAAAGGAAGGGTCAAATTCTGGAGCCATTTTAGTTGAAACTGACAAAAGAGGTCAACAAACAATAGCAGACTGCATATGAGGAAGAGCAGGACAGAAAGAACTGTAGTGGCTGCTGTACCAGGTTCTGGACTCCTCCTATCACCGTCAGGAACTCCTGTATTTGACGTAAGTCACAAGAAATGCTTTAGATACAGTTCTGAAGCAAACAAATTGAGATACTATCAAATGTCCTCAATTCATGGATAGACATCTGAAAAGAAGCCCTGTTGACACAGGTTCTACATCGTCTCCCTGCTCCTCAGATCTATTACCAATCCCTTTGTCATGTCTGCTGACAAAAATGTTCCCAGAAAAAAACAAATACAGAAGAGGGAGTCTTTCTCTTTCCTTCCACTGTCCATTTCCTGCAAGTATGGACATACTATCAGGGAATTAGATGTCCCCTAGGTCAAATCAATCTCCATGATTCCCACTGAGGAGCAGCTGTTTGTCTTCAGAAGCAGATTAATTGACAGAAACTAACTAGAAGTCAGTTGGCAAAGGAGAGCAGGAGATCACAGAAAGAGCAATGGGGCAGAAAGCCATTGGGGTGATACTCAGCATGAAAATGGTGACAATCACTCCACCTGGAACAGCCTTTGGCCCCCACCATCGGTATCACCACCTTCCAAAACACCTGACAAGAGGCAAAGGCAAAGTCAGGGAGTGAAGCTAGGGCCTTACACACACCAAGAAGGCATTCTCTCACTGAGCTGTGGCCTTCACACTCACACCTAAGAACTATGTCGTAAGCATCACTGCAAATGACCCCCTTCAGCTCTTTCCCAGGAAAAGGCCACCATCCTTCTGTCAATGTCCCAGTGAACTCTGTGCCCACCACACACATTTCATCATTTCTTGGCTCTGAGCCCTCCTCTGGCTTTGACGCGCTAACCTTGAGGTGGTTCTCTTCCCTCTGGTTCTGCGGCTGACTCTTGCCTGACCTTCTTGGCATCAAGTGGTATGTGACTTGGTGCCTCGAGTTCTGCAGAGTAGAAACATGCTACAATGATGCTTAGTGGCCTTTAGCAAACTTTTTGCCCATTTCTTATTTTTCAGAGATGCAAATGTGTGTTTTAATGTTAACAATAAACTAACAGAGATTTTTTTTTTTATTTTGAAGGCAATGTCTCTGAAATACAAAAATGTAATGTTTGCTAATGTGGATGTGGACGAATCACAGGTAAAAATCTTAAATTCTCCACATGGATTTCTCAAAACTCAGATCCAACAGAATTGGGTAGCACTGTCTCTGTGATTGCATAACCAACGTAAAGTCAACTAGCTCATACTTCTTTCTAATAAATAGTATTAATCTCCAACATAATGCTTTTGTATGTTTTGAGTAACTTAAAAAGTTAACAAGAATGTGCCTCTCCTGCTGTCCTCTCAGCCCCCATAGTACAGCTGATCTCATTAACCAGTCCTAACAGTCTTCACTACAGAGTACTCTATACTCTATCTCAGAATCCTCAGCAGATTACCTAGAGATTATGGTAACAATGATTCTCACCTGTAGTAGATAATCCATTTTTTGAAACCTGACTCAATGCATTACAGACACTATAGCTTGTTTTCCTTTTGTTGTGTCTTATGCTTTTTTTTTGGTAGCTTCTCTTTTCTTTTTTCTTTCTTTTTTTTTTTTTTGTGTGTGTGTGTGCATGTGTATGTGTATTTCAGGAAAGGGTCCACAGGGTTTTCAGGGTCTCACTACTAGATCGGACTCATAGTGATCCTCCTGTTTACAGCCTCCCAAGAGGTTACAGGTGCACACCACCATATCCAGTCTCATTTGGTGTCTCAGTGTACCCCGGAGTCAGGGCCAGCATGGCAAGTCCAGGGATCGAACCCCAGGCCCTGCACCTGCTTGCAGGTGCTTTAGTCTGCTGAGTTATTTGGTCAACCCCTTAGCTTTTCAAAAATATCACAAAATTCTAGGAAACTCTATCTGAGTCACCCTTCCTCCTCTTCAACCCCCAATCCAAATTCTCAATCCAAATATGGGGCCAGAGATATAACTCAGTGGCATAAGGTGCCTGCCTGGCAAGCACAAGGTCCTGAGATCAATTCTTGATACCAAAACAAAACAAAACAAATACATCTTATTAACGTACACAATGTCTCTACATATTATGCTCCCTAACTTTTTCTAACTTTTAAAGAAGAAAAGTAACCATATTCATCAGTTTTCTGTCATTATTACAAAATACCTGGGATAATTAATTCACAAAGAAGAAAGCTTTCTTTTGGCTCACAATTTTTAAAGTTCAGAACATTGGTCCCATTCTGTTGGGCATGTGACCAAGCAGCGTGTCAAGGTGGGAGTGCAGGTGAGCAAGGCCACACCTTTAGGACAAGGAAGTGAACAAGAGAAAGAGGAAGTAGCCAAAATTTTATAGTTTCCTCAAGGGCGTGACCCTGGTGACCTAAGGACCTCCAACTAGGTCCCACTGCTTAAAGGTTTTACTACACCTTAAAGATGCAGTGCCGCACTTGCAACCAAGCCTCTAACACTTGGGTCTTGGGGCTATCATTATCTAAATTACAGTATTAACAAGTGGCTGGGGTCAGCAAGGTAGCTCAGCAGTCTAAAGCACCGCAGCCACAGGGGACCAGAGTTGGATCCCTAGCTCCCTGGCACCACAAGCCATGGCTAGCCCTGCCCTCAAGGTGGGGTGAGCCAGCCAAAAAGAAAAACAAGTGACTATGTGTATATCAGGCTAAATTCAAGCTTTAGAATGAAAAAAAAATTGATTATTTACTGTAAGCCCTTTAACAGTATTATAATTAATTATTACTTAATCTTTATAAACTTCCATTTCTTCATTTTTAAAACAAGAATAATTAGAAGATAAAATACATGAGATCTAAGGTATGGTACTCAGAGCACAACAGAAATTCCATTTCTCTATGCTATTCAAACTTCACTGAAGTGTGATATTATTTAACTCTTTTCGGTCTGAATTATATACTATGAATTGAGAACACACAGCCAGGATCATTATTTCTTTGTCTTTTATATTCAGAATTGTATAACCATCACAACAGTTTACTGTTGAGGATTTTCATCATTCCAAAAAGAAACACTCTACCCTTTGTCAATCACGCCTACTTCTCTCCACCCTCCTCCACCCTTGGTGGCCACAGATCTACATTCTTTCTAAGTGTCTGCTCATGCTGAGAAGTACATATGAATAGAATCACAGACTACGTGGTCTTTAATGACTGGTTTGTTTATTTTAGTACGGTTCATCTGTGTTATAGACCACATCGGTATTTCATCCACTTTCTTCCTGAGTAATGTTCCATTGCATGGATACCACCTTTCAATTATCCATTTATTCACAAATGAACATTTAGATTATTTGTACATTGGCCACTGTGAGTATAAACATGACCACGCAAGCTTCTGCATGTACCTAAGTTTTCATTTTTCTTAGGGATACACCCAGAAATGGAATTATGCGGTCACATTTTAACCCAACACTGAACTTCCTGAGGCCCTGACAAGCTGCTTCCCAAAAAGCTGCTGCATCTCACATTCTCAGTGTCACAGTGGGAGAGCTCAGAATTCCCCTCACATGGCATTATCTCACTTTTTAAATTGTAGCTCTTTGGTTTTTAAGATAAAGTGAAAAGCACATTTTTCTATGATTAACGTATGTATTAGTTGTTGTGATTACCTTGATCATAGAAATTATAATTCAGTGCTTATGCATATGCATACTGTTGTAGGAAGGGAAACAGGTGCAGTGCCAACAAGCAATGGTCATATTAAAGAGAGGTGTCCATTTCCCCTGATCCTGGGGGTGGCTAATTTTCTTTTGACTTCTAAGCAAGAGAAACAAAAATTGCCATTTGGAAGCAGTTTGAAATGAATTAATCTTTTGGGGATTCTGGCCTACTTTCATGTTTTCAGTTTTCAAGTTTCTCACAAACATAGCTGAGTGGTAGAGTGACTACAGAGCCTAAAAAAAAAGGATTATGTTAGCCTTTCTTAAAATGAGAGGCTAAGACATACAGTGATGGTTATCTTTCTTAAAAATGTAATTAATTCCCTTCAAAATGCTCCCCTTCCCGTTGGGCGTGTATCCTGTCATTCTCGCCACTTTCTGGAACAGTTCCAGAAGTCCTCTTTCATGCCTGTCTTTATGAGTCATGATCATGAATAGGGTTAATGATACTGCCAAGTGTCACCCAACAGAGTGACAGGCTCGTGAAAGCCCAGTGCTGTGTCCTCACACATTCCACTCACAGGATTGGGTACCATGCAACTCTGGCTTTTCCTTGAAGTCAAAATGACCATAAAAGATAAGCTCTTTGAGTAGCTTCAGGACATCGAGGTGGCCACCACAGCACAACAAAAGACACTCATGACACCGACTTCCAGAGCTGCTCCAGGAAGGACAAGAATGATGGGACAAATGTGTCCAGAGTGAAGGGGAGTGTTTTGAAGGAAATTAATGGCAATCTGATTTTTTAGGGTTTTTTTTTTTATTTAAACATTCCCTGTAGTTTTCTTCACATTTCACATCATCTCACTTCTTAATGTCATTTAAAAGAATAGATTTACTCTTTCCTATTTTTTCAGGAGTTTCATTCCATATTGGGTTCCCTTTGGGGCTCTGCTGCACCTTTCACAAGGTCTCTAAATAGAGCCTGAGTAGCCTTGGAGGGGCTATGCTGTTTGGTCTCCATTTCTCACTCCTCTCCTAGACTTTGGGTGTAAATATCAAGCAATGCTAAGATGGTTATTGTCCACGGTGCCAGTGCTGGAGGCCGAGAGTCTACCAGTACGATCACACACTCTCTGGAAGGGAAGTCTCTGAAGTGTTGGATGTCTCTCAGTTTTAAGGCACATCTCCCGAGAAATCAGCAAGCAGTGTGTTTGGCATATGAAAAGCACATCACAATTGTGACGTCATGCCATGTCTTTCTTTCCCAGGAGTTGGCTGAATTTTGTAACGTACAAGCAGTGCCCACATTTCAGATGTTCAAGCAAATGCAGAAGGTATGTTTCCATGGAAATAAGTAGGGCTGAATTAAATTATAGAATCATCAGAGCTAAAACCAAAACAAACAAAACAAAACAAAAACAGAACAAATGCCAGGGTAACATGGGTGCGTGGCACTATTACATTTTACTTTTAATACTTAGCAATGTAATTCTTAGTTTTTAAACTCTACATATTAGTGAGGAGTTAAAAATGCATGATTAATAATAAATAAATCCCCCATTTAGGCCATCTGAGTCATTCAAAGCTATAAGAATTATCTCACTCTTATCACTACCCTGCAGCAAAGCCATTAAAAAAAATTTCCCAAAAGGATATGATGAAACTCTCCCATTAATGTGTATAAATCTTTAACAACACCTAGAGAAATGTCAGTCAAAACTATCAGAGGATAATATACAGGGTGTTGTTGAAAACAATGGTGAATAATTAATTTTTTTTTCTCGGTACCGGGGATTGAACTCAGGACCCTGCACTTTCCAGGCAAGCGCTTATTCTACTGAGCTATCTCCCCAGCCTATTAAATTTTTTAAAATTTATTACAATAAAAGACACATTGCCATGAATACCCCTTAAAATACTCCCCTTAGATTGAACACATTTGTCCCATAATTCTTGATACTTTCTGAACCAGTTCTGAGAACTTTTTTCATGAGTGTCTTTATTTTCCCTGTCATGACTTCCTCAGCTTTCTGAAAAGTTTACCTCTCATGGTCACGCTGACTTTGGGGAAGAGCAGAAGGCTCACTGTGCCAGGTCTGGTGGGGAAGGTGGCTAAGACACACAGCAGTATTTTTCCTACCCTGCCTTTCCACTGAATGGCACTTGGAAGCGGCATTTACCAAAGATTTTGTCACACCTCATAATGACACTTGCAAAAGCAGACTTCCAGCATCTCTTTGGAAAGTAGCCCTGTGTGTTTTACTGTAATTAATTTCTAGAAAAAAAGTAATATCCACTGTATATTTTGATCACACTTTAGTGATTACCCAGGTTCTGGATTCAGATTTTCATGGGCCAAATACCAGCTCAATCACTCTGCAGCAGTGGGACCTGGTACAATTTACTTAATCTCATCATTTCTTAGTTTCCCTATCTGTAAAATTAAAGAACAACACATTTTCCTGCTCAGGGTTGTTGAAAAATTAAATACATTAAGATAACTAAATTGATAGACTTATCCCGGCTTTGAGGGCTCAACATGTCATGTTAGATGTTGTTCTTGAAACATTTTAACGGAATAAAATGTCTAAAATGTTGGGCTCATAATGAAACTGATAATTTTATGGCTGGGACATTAATAATAGTGCATACCTCATGAAACATCATTTTGTAATAAACTTAGGAGAAAAAAAAAGTCTATTCCTTTTCAGATAACTACCTCATTCCAGGGAATTTATGCTATAGAAATATCTAGAGGAAAAAAAGAACACAGCTAACTCTATAACAATGGTAGCATGATTTTTAATTTTAAAGATTAAAAAAAGAAAAAGAAAGATGAACGCATTCTAAATGTCTTTTTAGTGGAATTACTAAATGAATTATGATACATATACTCTATGAAATAGTATGCAATTAAAATATCTTATGAAGACTATATATAGCTTACAAATTCACATTAAGCTTGTAAAGATTATGTCCACAATGTGAAGAATGAAGGCATTTGATATGCTGGCTTCTATTTGTTTCCATGTAGTTATTATAACACATTTTTGTGCAATATATTTAACTGAATTAAAAAATAAAGCTATAGGCCCAGTGAGACAGCTCAGTAGCCTAACGCACCTGCTTTGGCAAGTGCAAGCAAGAGCGGAGACCGCAGTTCAATCCCCGGCATGATCCCCAGGGCAGGCTGAGCTGGCCAGAGTCTGG